AACTTTTAAAAACATCAAAGAACCTTAAAATATCCTCGACTTCCTACACATAAAATTTAAAAAAAAATTTAAGACCCCGTGAGATACAAAACAGCACCCCCATAAATGAAATTAAACCCTACTTCTTCTTCACGTAAAGAAATTAAACAAACAATTCTCCCCCATCAACCATTTCAATTTACAAAGTACATCAATGCACTTAACCTTGAAGTAAAAAGGAATAGAAAAAAATCGATCGAGAAAAAAAGAAAAGAGTATTCTTTTTTTAACGGGAGTATTAAAGCCTTAGACAAGTGGGTACTCTTTAGAAGCCTTCCTCACTTGGTGATATCGATCCAAATCTAATTTTGCAGCGCCACGTGTGACATAGTTCGTTGTAGATGCGTTACATGACGATGTGATCGTAAAAGATAATCGTTGCCCTCTCATCTGAAGCGAGTCGAATTCGATTAGGTTTAGGGTGTTGGCTTGCATCAACAATTATGTATTTCCGGTTGAGACGATTTTAAAGTTTAAATTGAAAAAATTTCTTGCTAATTCAAAGACCATTTATTCATCGCTCAACCTAAAATCTTCAAAGCCACAGATAAACTAGAATAATAGTTTGTTCACACCATGTATTTATACTTGTTATTACTTATGTTCAGAGCGTTGGAAATTCACATCCATTCTATTTTTATGGTAAATGGTTACCGTGTAAATTTTCACTAACTTTGTGTAAAGAGTAAATTCAACTTTGATATAGGTTTATCAAAATTTATTTTGAAAGGGGTGGTGTCATCGTCATTTTTTCTATCTACATAGCTAGTTTGTTGGAATTAATTTAGGGACGAGATTGATTATGCATGGGTGAGATTACTTTTCTTGTATTGATACAAAATTTATTATCGTAATATTAACATTGTGAGATGAATGGTTCAGATAACATTGTGAAAGTGTTTATAAACTTTAGGTTAGAATGTGCATGATATTGCTAGATGATATGATTGAGATGGTAACCATATTTCTTCAGAGGCAATAATCAGCACATCTGAAGTAGAAATCGATAAAATTTGTCAAGAAGAGCAAAAAAGCATATAATTGTGTACATTTCAGAATGGAAATATATGCTTCTGAGAAGAAACGTGAAGCAGTTACATCGTGAAATGAGCGTTTAAGCAAAGGTTAAGTTAAGTTTATGTTTTGGAGAATGATGTTTCAGCAACTATGTGCACTTTAAACTTGGAACATTGTGTTAGCAAAGTTTGAATCCAATTTGAAAGAGTGACACAGACATTGATACAAGCTTTTATGAATTTTTGTAAAGTTGGGAAGACAAGATTGGCGAAAAAAGTTACTGGCAACATATTAATTCAACAATCACACAAATATGTTTTGATTTTGGGAAGTCAGCTTTATATCTATAATTTTGAAAGGTATGATTGTGTTAGTAACGTGGCCACACTGCTTATTTGGTATGAAGTGGAAAATTTAAAGGCATCCCTGAAAATTGAAATTCTTGGAAAATTGGTTTGCTACAGTATACAGAAAAAATTCCTAACTGTAATGGATATTATTGATGTTATTAACAAGCACATACTAAAAATTGAATACATTGTTTATACAACCACTATACAGATGTGTTCCAAATGATCCAATATAGTCACGCGCAAAAAATTCCGAACTTACTGAAAGTTGATCCCATAAAAAATTTGGTTTTGGTTATGAAAAGAAAAGCTATTCATGCAATATTTACAATTTATGCAGTTTTGCTTGTATAAGTTTAGTATTTGTGTCTTTTGGCAGTGTTCAATACAATTCTTCAAGCTTCAGTTCTGCAGAAACTTCTTTTAAGTTTGGTCATTATTCTCGTAGCATCTGCAATTTAAAAAACTTCTCTTTGGGTTATTCCCATCGTTCCAGAAGATCGTGTGCTACTATACCATACAGGAGAAGAGATAGAGGAGAAACCTGATACACACATTTCTGTAAGAACTTATTCGCCAAAGTCGTTAAGTCGTTGTTCCTATCAAGTCCTTGTCAAGAATGGAAACCTTTCCGACGAAATAGTTTTACCATAATTGGCAGCACTCTACGATTTTTTTTGCAATCTTCTTATTCTTTTTGCGTCATCTACAGCGAATATCTTTTAGCCATGAATTTTTATGTCCCCTACACACAGATTTTTTCTCGTTATTTTGCCTTGTATAATCAATTTAAGAAGGTGGTATTGCCACCTCTTGTTATATGTCCCAAATAATTTAACGTTTTTTCTTTAACTAACACTTCCATGTTGGTTTTTGTAGTAATAGACTCAGTGTCCGTTTTTTGACCAGATGTAGTAACTAGCAACAAAATAATCTTATGCACTGGTGCAAGTGTAAATATTTACTAGTAAAGACCTTCTTCATATTGAAAACATTTTTCTTGCCTATTCGATTGCAGCTTTTACTTCGTTTTTGGGGTCACAGTTCCAGTTGATTATGGTATCCCGATATTCATATGAGGGTGCTTGATCTATAGAGATATCATCTATAAGGATGTCGTTTTATAGAGTCTCTCTTCATGGCGTCATTGAGAAAAGCATTAGCTTGGTCTTTGAGATAATGCACCGCTTTATCTAACTCCATTTAAGATCCACTCGAAGTTCTGTGGTTTGATCTAATCTAAACCAGCGATTACATGAAAACATCTCCCTCGTCCATTCCCAGAGATCTTAAAATCTCTGCAAGCTTTTGGTATCGTACGCAGTCGAAGGCTTCTTTCTAATTTACAAAGCATGCATACACATCGACGCAGAGATGTATAGACAACATCTCTGAGTTAAAACCTTAAGTGAAAATAGGTCCTATTTTTGAGATGTCACATCAAGCTAATCATCACATTGAGTGGAGGATCAACATGTAGGTTGATGGAAGTAGATTTGAACCAATCATCTGGGATTCTTCCGGTTTTAGATGGAGTTGAATAGGGTTGTTAATGCGATTAGATCATGGCCAGGTTCAGATCACGTCTTATTCTGATACTTGTTACTAGGTTTCTTTGGTCTTTTTGAATCATTGTCTTGCAACCAACTATTTCTTCTTGGGTTTGCTTTTCACATCAATCTAATCATAAGGTAATGATCACATTGAGTACAGTTGAATCATCTGGGATTCTTCTGGTTTTAGATGGAATTGAACAGGGATGTTAATGCTATCAGATCATGGCCAAGTTCAGATCACGTCTTTATCTGCAATTATTTTCAGAGTTTCTGCCTATATTTAGTCTGGCACAGTAGCTTTGACAACTTTTAGAAACATAAGGCTTGTGTAATTTCTTCTTTTGTAATTTTAGAACTTGTCTCATTGATACTTGTGTTACTAGGTTTCTTTGGTCTTTTTGAATCATTGTCTTGCAACCAACTATTTTTTCTTGGGTTTGCTTTTCACATCAACCTAATCATAAGGTAATCATCACATTGAGTGCAGTTCGCTTTATGTATGATGGAAGTAGATTTGAGCCAATCATCTGGAATTCTTCCGGTTTTAGATGGAATTGAACAGGGATGTTAATGCTATCAGATCATGGCCAAGTTCAGATCACGTCTTTTTCTGCAACTATTTTCAGAGTTTCTGCCTATATTTAGTCTGGCACAGTAGCTTTGCCAATTTTTACAGACATAAGACTTGTGTAATTTCTTTTGGAATTTTAGAACTTGTCTCATTGATACTTGTGTTAATAGGTTTCTTTGGTCTTTTTGAATCATTATCTTGCTATCAACTGTTTCTTCTTGGGTTTGCTTTTCACATCAACCTAATCATAAGGTAATGTATGTTATATTCGTAGGCTTTTTCTTGTATTTGTCGTAGGACGAATATCTAATTATATTAGACTCGCCCAGAAATTTATCGGTATACAAAATGAATGTGTGTAAATAGGCTTTAAAAACTTCCTTGATGTATCATGCTCATGACTGATTTATTTGCTTTAATTGCATTTCATAATTGCCAAACAAACTACGATCAGGCATAAATGATATTTATGTTTACTTTTTGACAACATAATTTTTTTGTCCATAATAAATGGACAACATTTTTCCCACCCGATTTTTGGACTTCACTACACTTCGAAGCTAAATTTCCATTCTGTACTGAACGTGATTTCCTGAGTAGCACTTTTCAGCAGCTACTTATGTATACAGGGGCATGTTTATGGTAGTTGACCACCATATTAAAACCCAGAAACACACACATTATCAGCGGTGTATTTCTTCTAAGAAACGTTTTTATTACAAATTGGTGTTTATTACAAAAAGTTTACTAAATAAAAATTTATCATTTTCAACAATTTGTCTCCTTTTATCTTTTTATTTTATGCCTTTACTTTAATGACTGACACATGACTAATAACGAACATATGTCCATAATAGCTAAAAAAAGAAAAGCATAAAGAGTAGACAAAAAAATAAACAGCCCGTTTAACTCTTGGGAGAAGAAATTCCGATCCACTCCCCCGAAAAAAAAGTATGCAATCACAAATAATTTTTTTTCCACTCGTTCTCGTTATAACATTCTCTTGTTTTCATTTACCACATGTCGGTGAAACCCACCCTCCCGATAATAGGGTTGTGAACGTGGAAAGCCAAGAAAAAAATATAAGGGTGTGTCATCACAAAATCGATTCGAAAAAATGAGTTACCCTTTTATTTTTATTATCTTTTTCTTTTCGTTCGCTTCTAAGTAATGAAATTACAAGTTTATTATGACTAAAGATAAAGAGTCTCTGGACAAACTAAGATAATTCGAGTATGGAACTTAAAATTTCTTAAACACACCCGCTTATCTGTTTGGAGTTATTAACGTTTTGGTTTGCTTAGTATATCTTGTGACCGCTTTTAATGGTAATGTAATTTTTATAGCCTCTTTTATAAAGAATGATATTATTAAAATCATGACGTAAGATTCCATATCATACTCAAAAGAAAGTAAATTTTTGAGTACTTTTTAGAATGTAAAAGAATCTTCTTTTTCGACTACAAACTCGGTTCTTTATGGCTCGTTGAGCAACGACGTACGCGAAATGGCCATAACTTTCACATGTTCGGTCTAAATTTTTTTAATTACCTCAGGAATTTTTATCTAAGCAGTTAAACGGCCGTTATCCCAGTTACGAAGGCCGGTTTATTGGCCCCCACGAGTTCGAATTTATGCGTTTTCGCTGTACGGAAGCGAATTTAGGTTTATTTCGAATAGAATCCTGTTTTAATGTTTAAGTAATTAGTGTAACCCAAAACGAAATTTATTTAGAAACTTATAAAGCTTTAATATTTAATTATAGTGACATTAATCAAATAATAAGTATGACATAAAATATATAAACGTCGTAGTTTTTTTTGTAAGATTTTATTTTAAGAAAACCAATTTTTTGTAATAAATAAAATGTCCGATCCATTACAAGCAACACCCCAAATTGAAGCCGACAAAAATTTGGTTCAATTCAAGAGTTACGACGATTATTTAGATTCTTTGGTTACCGAAATCGATCATTGTTACTTGGAAAATGTAACAACAACAAGAACGATAGCTGAATTAGGATATAGAACATCAGGGGAAACGCTTACAAAAGAAAATTTTGAGAGACGTCTCGCCGTGGTTTTGGATTATTTATACCCAAAAATTATACCCTACATTCTCGTTTCTGAAAATTGCGAATTAACAAACACATTACAAAAAGAATTATCGTTGCGCGAGAACGCAAACCGTTTAGGGATTATGGGAACAATAATTTTTTTAAGAATTTACACCAAAAAGGGACACGAAGTATCCGGATATATCGATTACGCCGATAGTTTAGCAAATAACGATTGGTTGCCATTTTTTAAAGGATTAAAACCTTTACAACCGAGAATTGGCGATCTTGGTTATTACGATTGGAAAACCAATAAATATACTTATAAAGATTCACGAAATTATAAGATTGTCGTTGATCCAGATATCGGACTTATGTTTCAAAATCGTTTCGACCGGAAGTACATAGTCGTTGATCCCACTCAACACCCTGGACCTAATAGTGTTCGAATTCGACTCGCTACGGATGAGAACGGTACGATTATCTTTTACGACCACATCGTCATGCAACGCATCTAAAACGAACTGTGACACACATGCAAAATTAGATTTGGATCGATATCAGTGAGAGAGGAAGAATATCTATTTGTCAAAGGCTTTAATACTCTCATAAAAGAGTTTTTAGATTGATTCATTTTGTTTTATTAATTTTTAGAGGATTTAAAGGATCTTAAATAAATATAAAATAATTCTTAAGTAAAATATATGTTAGCTACAAAAGATTTTATGTCCTAATCAATTATTTATTAACAAATTTGCCGCTCTGTTTTGATTCGTAAACATATATTTGTCAGGATTACATAAATTTTCTTGTTGAGTCTTTGAATTTCTTGGACGTAAAGTTTCCCATTAACTTAAAAATAGTTCAAAATCAAGAATGGATGAACTTAAAATTTTATTGTAATCGATTTCCTGATGAAAAATACTTTGTTAAGTTGAAGAATATTCAAATTATTGTTAAGCAGCAGAATAAACCTTCTTTATCGGTCAAAACTCCGAGTTTTGAAAAATGAGCGAATTTTCTCTAGGGTGATGGGCCAAGAATATTATGGATGGCTACTAATGTTGGTGTGTCTAGAAAGTCATTTATCGATTGGCGGGTTTATTGAGGATACTTATTCATTGCTAGTTTGTGTACCTTCTGTAGTAGGGCGATTATGCTTAGGCAAATACGTTTAGGTTGAATGAATAGATGCCATTCTGTTGAAATGTAGATATAATATTGAACGCTGTGTTATCTAATTGAATGGTTATTTTTACAATAGCTGGGATATCGCTAAATGGCCCTTCAGAGTTCAAATTTGTAAACATATCGTAGGCAGAATGAAAGCAAAAAGAAATCAACCTGGATTTTTTTACAAACTTTGGGTTATTTCCGTTTTTCTTTGATACTTTATTGATTGCTCATGTTTTAGGATTAATTTAATTAAGCATTTTTGTCATATACAAGGCAGAAGAAAGCCAGAAAGATACAAAAAAAATCAAATTTTTGTTTTCCTTGTTATGAACTCTTATTATTTGCTTTTTCTGATTCTGATCCTCCAAGTTTTACAGCTGGAAAAACTGGACACTATTACAAAAGTTCTTATTATTCTTTTGCCATCATCTACTTTTTCTGACTTTTTTAGTCTATTTATTGTAAAAAGTGTGATTCCGCAAATATATTTATTTTGAATGAATAGATCCCATTCAATTGAAATCCAGATATAATATTGAACGCTGTGTTATCTAATTGAATGGTTATTTTTACAATAGCTGAGATATCCCTAAATGGACCTTCATAATACGCATTTGTAAACATATCGTAGGCAGAATGAAAGCAAAAAGCAATCAACCTGGATTTTTGTACAAATTTTGGATTATTTCCGTTTTTCTTTGACATATTATTGATAGCTAAAGTCTTAGGATTACTTTAATTAAGCATTTTTGTCATATAAAAGGCAGAAGAAAGCCAGAAAGATATCAAAAGCAGTCAAATTTTTGTTTTCCTTGCTATGAATTCTTATTATTTGCTTTTTCTGATTCTGATCCTCCAAGTTTTACGGCAGGAAAAACTGGACACTGTTATAGAAGTTCTTATTATTCTTTTGTCATCAACTACTTATTGTTTTGCTGATAAGTCAAACTTTTTCTATTTACTGGGTTATTCCTGGTTTTTGTTTATCTCTCTCCTGTTTACATTATATTATTTTTATATATTATACCAAAAAGATGGTAAGGTGTCGCCAAAATCACGTTAAATTTCTGTTGGCTCAATTTGCCTTTTTGACTTTCGAATTGATACTTAGAAGACAGAATTGCCAGAAAGATACCAAAAGAAAACCAAACTTTTGTCTCCTTTATTATGTCTTCAGATTATTTACTATTTCTGCTTATAATCTTCAAAGTTCAGCAATAGGAAAAAATGGATACTGTTACAAAAGTTATAATTTTTTTTGTCATGAGATTTTTTTATCATGAGATCTCGAAAAATCTACAGAGACATCAAACTCCACATTTATATAACTCTTATCTGTACAATCGTATGCTTCGGAGGAGAAACGTGGATTACTACAAAAAAGTCATCAGAGCTACTGGATCGATTTGAGAGGACGATACTCAGAAAGATTTACGACCTAAAAAACGACAACGGCGAGTGGAGGATACGACACAATAACCAGCTATATAGGCTGTATAAAGAGCGCAGCTTACAACACACATAAAAATAATGCAACTCCGCTGGGCGGGACATATACAACACATGTCAGAGAACGTGCCGCAAAAAAAGTATTTCTGAGACAATCAGGAGAAAGACGAATCAGGAGATTCTCGGTTTGAGAAGTTGGAAGAGAGTGGTCGAAGACTGAAACAGTTGGAGGCGAAGGATTGAGGAGACGAAGAAGAAGAAGAGATTATTGGTTTTCCTGAAGATGATCTGATTGCAATGAAAGCCAAGCGATTCATCACCAAACCAGACAGTCGCTAATCAGAGCTTAGTACTTGGCAGAATCATGGATCTAGAGTAAACGAGCTGAAATTGCAGTTATCTTGATTTAACACTTGTGAATTCTTCCAAAAAATAAAATCCTTTCTAGATTGGTATTATATTATTAATCAGATGTCGCCAAGAGAAGGACTCTACTGAAATAGACGGTGAAATAGATAAGATCGATATAATTTAATTAGATCGTTAAGTTAGATAAACCATCATATCTCAATATCAACGTTTAAATTTTGAAATATTTGATTGCATCAATCGTTTGTGCCTTCTAAAGACTAAATTACAATAAGCAATATGAAAAAAAAGATTTAGTATGCTTTTGGGACTAAAAAATTTTGTTATTTAGCTTCAATAGACTTTCAATAAATAGATAATTTAGTTATTAATCTTCTTATTTCCATTTTTGACAAATAACTATAATTTATCTACGCCCTTCAGAAAATACATTAAAACGTTTATGCTAAAATTACGTTAGTCACGGTCATATTTAACCGCTGACGTTGAAATCGCGTTTACAGATCTATAAGTTTTTATGTCGATTTAGTATCTGGAGTAACTGGCACGTAGCCATAAGAAAATCATTTTCCTGTTTATGTCACGAAGACACGGTCGAGCTTGTTCTAGGACATATTTTTCCTCTTTATACAAACATTTCTCTACCAACTTAACTATGTAGGTCATAATTTTATCTTAACGATAAAACGCAAATTTACCTAGCGTTTATTACTACCGCTGAAGTGTGAGTATCTTTTGCAGATAATAATTACAATTTATAGATTAAACTAACACGTCAACTATTTTAAGATTTTCATTGAAATGATCGTTTAAATCTGGTTCATGGTGAATTTTTTTTTTCATTTTAATTTATACGCGAGAAAGAATAATAAACGTTATGGAATTTATTACTGGCTCATGAGTGCGCTTCTTATTCGGGTTATAGAAAAATAAATAAAATATGATGCGTGATAAATTCATTTTCTTTTTAAAACGTTTTAATGGATTACGTGCGTCAAACTATTTTTTAAATAAAATATTGAATCAATTTAACCCGGTTTAGTTATAAATCACTAAAAAAATTGATCTAGTATCTCGGGTGTTTACACGCCTTGAAAATTTCGATTCAAAACTCGTCGAACCGCTCCACACCCCGTTAAAATAAGAGGTCTGTCGTCGTCTTCGTCGCGAATAAAAGCGCATTCCACCAGCAGGACGTGGCTTGCACAAGAGAAGACTCTTAGTTAAAAGGCGAAGACCTCAGACAAGAGACCCAGGTCGGTCTTTCTCTTATAAGGCATAAAGGCTTAATTAAATCGCGCGCTTTAGACATGCTAAGAGCATCTTTTTTCAATTGAAATTAATTGATGTTAACAGGGTAAAAATAAAAAAATATTAATATCAAAGAGCTTTGACTCTGAATAAAAAAATTGTTATTCTTTTACCATCCACTCCTATTTCTATTTAACAATCGTACGTTTAAAATGCGTCCCTTGAACATACCGACGTTAAAGAATATAACATCCATAAAACTGGACGCAACGGAATGCCCATCAAAGAAGAACAAAAGGACACGCAAGAATTGGTATTCGAAAGGCTACGTTTGTGTCAAACCCACTTTTTAATAACTACATAATTACCACCAAGAAACCTCTTTTAAAACCGGGTATCGCTTCCGTGTATCTTAACACAAACAAGAAATAACAATCCGTTTTCTAATTTTAACAATTAACAGTCTTAGTTGATTGTTAAATTGGAATCTATCGACTATAGTTTCTGTTTACCGCTGGCACAACAATGAGTTTCTTTGTATGCGGCGAGCAAAAGCTGTTGTACAAATTACATCATCAATCGGTAAAACGAAAGGAAACGGGAGTAGAAAAGAAAACCAAATAACCGTAGAGGCGATTGTAACGTTTGTATCGGGTTTCGTTTCGGATTTAATTTTGTTTAGTTTTGTGTAGTTTTGTAATTGAGGTCAATGGTGTAAAAGTGCACTTTCGATAAATAAAATCTCGATAAAATGTTTTAAAATGGAATTAAAAGGCACCAAAGGCGCCGACTGACAATATTAATGGACTGTAAACTATGTCATCCGTGAAATTTGTTACAATTACTCAATGAAAGGTCATCACAAAGATAGACATATAATTAAAAAAATTAGTTCACCATAAATGTTGTACAGTAAAAACTTAAAATAACGGACTAATTCGTAGATATACAACAATCTAATGCTGAATAATAACTAAAATTAGAACTAACACTAGACCTAGAACTAGAAACATTCAGGTTTAGCCGTCTTAAGAGACGCACGGCTAAACCCGAATGTTCTATTTCTAGGTATAGTGTTAGTTCTATTTTTAGTTCAATAAAAATATACAACAATCTATCGCTGAATAACAAATAAAACTAGAACTAACATTAGCATTAGAACTAACACTATACTTAGAACTAGAAACATTCGGGTTTAGTCGTCTTAAGAGACGTGCAGCTAATTCTGAATGTTTCAAGTTCTACGTCTAGAGTTTGTTCTAGTTTTCATTCTTATTCAGTGCTAGATTGTTGTATATTTTTATAGAACTAAAAGTAGAACTAACACTAGACTTAGGGCTTTATAGTTCCACGTCTAGTATTAGTTCTAGTTTTAGTTCTTATT